CTGCTGGGCAAAGGCCGGTCGGCGGCGGGGTTTCTCACTCCCTCTTTGAAGACGGTCGACCCTGGCTGAGGTGCTTCAGGTGGGGGCGGTGCGCATGCGCAGGGCGCGTTGGCGTGGTGGCGGGCGTTGGGCAGCGGAGTCACGGACGCGTCGGGCGGCGGAGTAACAGAACAATGGATATAGTTCTTTCAGCAGACAAATCTTCATCCGAAAAGGAACAAATAAAGGGAAGAAGAAGAAAGACAATGGCTCCTCCTCGTGCCCCCGCGCGGCTGCGCTTCCCTCCCCCACTCCCCGCCATCGGGATCTGGAGCTTCTCCCCAGCCAGCCCCGATGTTCCCCGGGCTCGTTGCTGTCCTCTGGTGCCCGGGCGCGCTGTCCTGGTGCGGCTCCTCTCCCCACCCCTCCTTCGTGAGCCTTGGGTCGGCCACCTCGTGCGACGGCCTCGCAGGTGCGGCTGGGATTCGGCTCTGCGCGTGCTCACCACCACCACCCCCATCCCAGTAGGGGCGAGTATCGCCCAACGGACATGGACCTGTGTCCATGGTCGGGCCCGCTCCGGGCCTGGGGCATCCGAGGAGCTGCGCTACTTCCGACTCGCTTGGCTCGCCGGCGCCTCGGCGCCTCCGCACCCCCACCCTGCTGGTGATTTGGTTGGCCATCCATCCCAGCGCATCTTTGATTTCGGCTACTCCAGGAGTTGCGCTCCTTTTCCGGCTCCTTGGGCTCGTCGACCTCCTTGCTACTTCGGTCTCGGCGACCCGGATCTGCGCTACCCTCTGGATCCTGGCTCGCTCGGCCCCCGGGCACTGTCACATCCTCCACCGCTTCTCAGTCCGCCTAGCCGCCCAGTCGGCCACCTTGGTGCCATGTCTGTCCCTCCATCGCTTTGTTGCTTGCACGTCCGACTTCGCTCCCATTTCTGTGGTCATGATTCAGGCCTATGCTCGATTTCTTTTTCGCTGATTCATTCTTCGATGGCTTGGGATTGCTCCGACTCTGGCTAGGGCGAAATCCCTGCATTTTTGCTGGCAGCGGCAACACCCGAGGGTGTCGTTCCCTTCTTGGAGGCGCTGTCACAGTCGTTGTCTGTGCCCCTCTTCGAGCATCAGGGGAAACCCTAGGTCCGGTTATCAGGATCGGACAGCGACGACACCTCGGCGTCGTTCTCCTTCGTGAATGCGCTGTTTTGGGTGCTCATAGTGTCCTCGATTCTAGATCTAGAGATGTTCGTCGTCGTGTTGTTGGTCAGGGCTACCTTCCAGGATGGGAGGCCTAGCTATGTCTTTTTCATTGTTTGGGCTGAGCATCCCATGTCTCTCTGCTCCGGGCACCATGTTCACGCCCTTGCGTCCGTGTCATGTGTTGTACCACTTCTTGTACTTGTCCTAACTCCTTCTATCAATGGAATGATACTGTGCCTATGTTGAAGGAGGTGGTGCACCAATCCGGAGATTATGTTGCCACCCATGCTGGGTGAAAACCTTCCTGGCCACCTGCTCCAACCGCGTACACACTGCCTTGAACAACGGTTGATACTCCATTCGGTGTAGTGTAATCCATGTACGAAGCAAGTGCGTACAACGAAAAATAACCAGCAACTCGAAAATCAAATCATTTCTACATAGCCAGAGTGCCCATAATAAGGCATATGCTCCCACCCAAATTAGCGTTTTGAGCCTATTTGAAATTCAACCAATGACCAAAAATATTAGCAACAGTTATGGGCGGATACAAATTGGACGCTATTTGGATGACTGACCATGCAGAACACACAAACTTGCATTGAAAAAAAAGGTGTTCGATTGTCTCGCCTTGAGTACAAAAACTACACTTCCTACTTCCGTGCCAATTGCGACAGGCGAGATTGTCTTTGGTTAGTACAACTCCCCTTGGAAGATACCACATGAAGATATAATATTTCTTAATCCAAGGGATAAGTTTTAATCTCACGGTTGATCTACATACAAAACAATAATCTTTTATAAGGGAGGGTTCCAAATCTCGCCTCCTGAAAATTAACATCGCAAATCCACTTCAGTCCCAATATGCGCGTATATCAAACAGCTTAGCTACACATTAACACCACTGGTTTCATCTCAAGAATAAAATGACCGCAGCAGCGAGAGAAGCACCGGTGCGAGAGTGTATTCTAGGACGGCATAAACATAAATTGCTGAAATCTCATTCCAGTGTGGCAAGTGACGGCTTGCAGACTACTAGAAGCACATAGATACACTGTAATTTCGTTGGCAGTTTCAGACTTTCAACAGTAAGCAACTAGTGTACGAACAGTACTTTCTAATACTAGTACACCGGGTATTTTCCAGCTCAATTTTTTTTACCAGTACACTGGTAGCTGAGCTAGAGGAACAAATCACACAAGGTGGCGACACTTCAAACTCTCCAGCCTCGAGCCGTGCTTCGGCTGGGCGGCAAGTAAAATTGAAAAGAAGAAGAAGAAGAAGAAGAAGACGATGTGGGTCTTGCTAGAGGCGATGGGCAGGGACGAGTCCATCGTCAAAGTTTTGGGAGTAGCTCTTGATGTCATACCCGAAACTCACGGCGTGGCGCTTCGGCCGCAGCACGGCCCGCCTCACCCTCCAGTAGAGCTGCCTAACGGGAGCCGGCGCCTGCCGCCACGACACTAGCCAGCCGTGGCTCCCCCCTTCCGTCATCTTCCGGCTGTCAATGCTTCTCGTCACGTGCAATGATCCTCCCAGAAACGCCATCGGTCCTTGATGAGTGATTAAACACGGCTCTGTGCTGCTCTTCTTTCTTGATTAGGTTGCTCCTGATCTGAGATGGATGGTTTTGGTTTGCACAAATGGGGCTCCTCAGCAGTCGTTTTATAAGCTCGCCGAATGGACGAGGCTCCGACGCCGACGTCAATGACGGCCGGGTCTGCCACCACACACGCGCACTCATGGCTAGCTGACGAGAAAAATCCACTTTACACAAGGATTATCCCATGGCAAAATCACATTCCAGGCGTCTTTTGCCATTGCCATCCTAAACTACACACCCTACAGTCAAAGTCCAACGCGGAATCTGCGTGGCCCAAAGGGAGGATAACATCCAAAGAGCGAGGGGTTGGTGGAGGCCTGGTACCATGTCAACACAGGCAGTTGCATACTCAAAAGTAATTTTGCTTGAGGCATCCATCCACTAGTGTTGGTGCTTGCCACCAGTGCTTTTTACTTCTAAATAATGCTATATCAAACGGTCCCAAGAGAAGAAGCACTGGATCGCTTGCTGGTGCTCAGGTTCGGATATCGCCTCACTTTAATTTGGCCATCCACATTACCGGAAAGATTGGCACGTAGGCAAATACTCTTTATGTGTTAATAAAGCTATATGTTGGAACCACGTGCTCCTGCTTAGTGACCGCTCGTATATCCGATCATGAAGATATAGTTGTTTGGGACAAATCTTCATCAGAAAAGAAACAATGGGAGAAGAAGAAGAAAGATGATGGCTGTATCGTGACGCTTTACACGCACGATGGTCGTGGCCGATATATCCATTATCCATTGTTCAGTTAAGCTGAGGTATCAGGCTTTTGTACAGATCTAGCATTTTCAACTTCTATACATACTTATAGCAATTGACATAGAAAGCACAATTCTAACTGCGCCAGTACCTACCGGCATATCTGTTGCCCTTCGTCTCTGCATCAAGATTGCTGTGCTGACTTGCAGCATAAATGTACCAAATATTTTGTTGCATGAATACATTGCAATAGACTCTTGATAGGGGGCCATGATAGTAGTTTTTCGTCTGATAAAAGTATGGAAGAACGGATGGCTGCATGCACACAGATTCTCCCTCGCCACCCATTGAAAACCTAGCACTTCATTTTTCTTGTGAGATACTAATTCATTGATATGTTTTCTGGCTACGTGTTCGTGCCCTAGTCTTTGGCCGTCCACATAACCCAAAAGATGGGCACGTAGACAATGCTCTTTATGTGCTAATAAAGCTACATTGGAACCTTGTTGCAAAAAAAAAGCTACATTGGAACCATGTGTGTGGTTGTGTTTAGGTGTTGACTCATATCGGATCATGAAGATATAGTTCTTTGGGACAAACCTTCATCGGAAAAGAAACAAAAGGAGTAGAAGAAAGACGATGACTACATTGTGACGCTGTACACGCATGGCGGTCGTGCCGCATATATCTATTGTTCAGTTAAGTTTCAGGGTACGGTGTCAGTTTCAAGTTCATGGTTGTACCGACACACTCCACGGCGCGGCGCTACCAACAGTAAGTACTTTCAACTTTTGTACAGAATTGGCACTTTCAAATTTTGTACAATCCTAGCGAAGAAACCCTCGTATATAAGCAGGCTAAAGAAAAACGACAATAAAAAAGATATCGAAGGCCATAAAAAAACGCCACACCTAACAAGAAGCCGCTGAGACTATCGAACAAGAATGGAACAACACCGACTTGAAGAACCACTAAACACCATTGCACCGAACACACCAATGAGTCTCGGAGAACTCATGATCCTATCCTGACATAAATAATGTAGAAAACATTGCACGAATAATGAAGATAGACTGACAAATTAATGTTCTTGTGGTTGCAGTGGAACAAAGGTTCAAGCTTTCGATTTTATTTTAGTTCTACCTGCTAGCCTAGAGATGGTAGTAACAAGGCATATCGGATATAGCACGTGGACTGCACTCGATTGCCCTCTGTATCTCTCTACTTGGACCAACTTCCCGACGTGTTGGTAACCTCGTGTGAAAAACGGATAGTTAAAGACAAAGTAATAGTGTTTGATTGAACCGATATATCTATAGGAATCTTCCCACGAGCATAATCCAGTTGGCTAATCAACTCATCACATAAAGGACGGGCGTTGTTGGTAGTATGCATGGGATGGTGGTGCATATATCCAATCCAAGTCATACGTGATCAATGATGACTTGGATAAATTTTATGGTTTTGAAGGGAGTTTGTACCTCTCCCAAGGCGACTCAGGCAACGCCGAATCCTCCCGTTGCAACCTCCTTCCTCTCCGGCTTCTCCTCCCCCACCGTCGCCTACTGCACCCCCCAGGCAAAACCCGCTCGGATCTGGTGACGGGGCGCCGCGACTCTCAACAAGGCACCACCCGTCGAGTAGGAGCTCGGGTGGTTGCCGATGACACGGAGCTTCCCGGGCGTGCGTGGCCGAGATCTGAGGTGGTGGTCGAGGCACAGGTTGCGGGCATGAGTTGTCGCTTCGGGGATCCTGTTGGTCCGTGGGTGGGCGGCGACAACGGAATGGGGTGCGGTGGATGCACCGTCAGCTGAACATAGGGGCTGCACTTATGGCGGCGTTGCTGCTTGGTGGTGCACTGCTGCAAGAGCTTGGGCGCGCTATGTCCTGGATCCATGGGGTCTTCACTGGATTTGGAGGTTGGCATGGAAGTGCACTATGGCTGCTCGATACCTTTGGCCGATGCTGGCTCGGTTCACGCGGGCTCCTCTGGCTGTCGGTGTGTCTGCCGGTCGTGATGATCCAATGGGCGGGTGGTGCCGCGTGCTATGGTGTCGGGCTTTGCTAGAAATGTTGATGGGGGTGGGCGTCTGGCCCGGATCTAGCTGGGCAGCAGTGGGGACTATCTGCTGCTCGTCCTGCCGCTTGCCGTGCGGTACGGACCTGGCAAGACTGGATGTGTGCGGTCGTTGCTGGCCTTGTTGCTCATTGACCAAGTGCACTAGTAGAAAAAGGACCTAATATGAGACACATTAGTGCCGGTTTGATTTTGAGCCGGCACTAATGTGTCCAATAGTGCCGGTTCCAACGGCTAGCCAGCCGTTCTCATTAGTACCGGTTCATGGCGAATCTTTAGTACCGGTTCGTGCCACGATCGGTTCGTGCCACGAACCGGTACTAAAGAGAGTGGTGGCAGGGTGTTGTCAGTCTGGGGCCCCTCCAGCACCTTTAGTACCGGTTCGTGGCACGAACCGGTACTAAAGGTCAACCTACATAAACCCTTCGTCCAGCCGAGCCACTCTGTTCTTCCCCTTTCACTCTGTTCTTCCCCTTTCCCCTCACATCCTCTGTTCTTCCCCTCTCTTCCTCGAGCTCCTCACAAATTTTGCCCAAAATTTATCAAGATTTGAAGGCCCCCATCAATTCAAATGATCACAAAGGTTAGCAACTTTGTCTTTTCAACTCTCATTGCTAGATTAGCTCTTGCAATGCTTTGTATAGTGATTAATTTGGGAGGAATTATATTTGCTAGTATTTGATTTATATGCAATTTGAGGTCAAAAAAATAACACTTAGTTTGCATATGTAGGTGTGGTTTACTTAGTGCCTTCTAAATCTCTGTCGTAACCACCGTCGATCGCCCGCACCGTCCCGTCGCCGGCACCACCTTGTGGTGAGGCTCTTGTTCATGAATGTTTTACATTACCAAATTGATGTTTGTGTGATTTGGATATATAGTTACTCATATAATTATCTTACCCATACGTTGTTTGTTATACATAGTGCCATGGTTTTGATATCCGTCCCCGTCAGCCCTCGTCCTTGTTATGACTCGGATGTGGTATATTCTCATTTAAAATTAGTTGTTGCATTTCGTGTTTATGACAAATTATGCCCATCAAGTTGACATAAATATTTTTATCTAGGAGGTATGTGAACCGAAAATTCCAACCGACCCTATTGTCGAGAGGTTAAATTTAGTTGAAAGAGAAAAGGAGTATTTGAAAGAAAAATTGAAAAGAATTGAGGGGGAGAAGATGGAATTGGAGTTGCATGTTGCCGATGTCGTCGATGATCACAAGATCAAGATGGAGAAAATGAGGTTGAAGATTAGAAAGATTAGAAAATATGCCATTGATAGTGTGGCTTGGTATCATTATGCTGTTGGATCAATTGTTACCTTAGTTGTGATCTTCATCGCATTTGTTGTTGCATTTAAATTCTTTAGCTAGAGAGTTATTTGTATGTTGCATTTAATTAAGTGTTGTATATGAACTTTATGTATGAACTTGTATTAATTTGGTCTATTCGGTGTTGTGTAATGAAGATGAGCCGACAATGGATGTATGATGACAGATGCTCTCCCGAGTTCATTAATGGCGTGCATACTTTTCTGCTTGCCGCTGAGGCAAACAAGCGGGCGGATGGTTTTATGCCTTGTCCATGTGCTGGTTGTAAGAATGGTCACAGTTACTCTACGTCAAGAACCATTCACGTCCACCTATTTGAGTCCGGTTTCATACCCCACTATAATGTTTGGACCAAGCACGGAGAAATATGGGTTATGATGGAAGACAATGAAGAAGAAGAGGACGACAAGGCTATCCCGGCCATGGGTTCCCTGAATACGATGATACGACAATGGGGGAAGAAGCTGAGCCGGCAATGTAGAAAGAAGCTGAAGAAGAGGCATCAGATGAGCCCGCTGATGATCTAGGTCGGGCCATTGCCGATACAAAGAGAAACTGCACAAGTGATCTAGAGAGGACGAAGTTGCAGCGCAAGTTAGAGGATCACAAGAAATTGTTGTACCCGAATTGCGAAGCTGACAAAAAAAAGTTGGGCACCACACTTGAATTGCTGCAATGGAAGGCAGAGAATGGTGTATCTGATAAGGAATTTGGAAAGTTACTGGTAATGATAAAGAATATGCTTCCAAAGGACAACGAATTACCCGAGAGTACGTATGAAGAAAAGAAGGCTGTCTGCCCTCTAGGGTTAGAGGTGCAAAAGATACATG